TGATGACATATTTTCACTTTGTCACACAGTTCAAGACTAAATATTTGAACATTCTTTGCGACAAGTGATTTACAGTATCGTGTTGCTTATTTTGAGTATTATCAGTGGGAAAACCCTTATGTGTGTGTGTGTGTGTATTGGGAGAATGCAATGGGAACATGTCACCTGGAACAGCAGCAGGCCCACAGGGATGTTCTACCTGCTGGCACAAAGCCTGTTGACTGCTAGCTGACGGGGCACAGATCATGGATGTTCGTTTGTAGAGGCTGTTAGCTCCTCACAAATGCCAAGACTTTGAGAAGCTCTACCAGTTTCCTAAAGAGAGACCCCTTTTCAGGAGGCAGAGTTTTGCCTTTTGTGTGTGTGGGGGCTGGTGAATAATTCTCAAGATCTGGTAGACTTAATAACACTTATATTCTTATAACCTTGTCTGCTTTTAACAGCATGGCCTGACTTGCCGATGAAAGTGAGATTTCTTGATTAACATTTTAAAAAAATGCCTTGATTATGTAATCTGAGATAAAGCGGAATGAATGATGCCTTTTTAAAAAAAATATATTTTATTGATTTTTTACTGAGAGAAAGGGAGAGGGGGATAGAGAGTTAGAAACATTGATAGGAGAGAAACATCAATTTAGCTGCCTCCTGCACACTCCCTACTGGGGATGTGCCTGCAACCAAGGTATATGCCCTTGACTGGAATCGAACCTGGGACCCTTCAGTCCACAGGCCGACGCTCTATCCATTGAGCCAAACCAGTCAGGGAAATGATGCCTTTTTGAAAATAAAATATAATCAAATGCATGCGTGTGGTCATTGGGCCCAGAAGGATAGCAGCATATGCAACATGCCCAGTGACAAGAGAGGGCGTGGGCAGTGCCAGTTTTTTCCTGTTGATGCCACAGACAAATAAAGACTTCCTCATCCAAACCTAGCATTCCCTTGGTGCTCTGTGTTCCCTGTTGGCTCAGTGTTTCTTCTGACATCATCTTCATTCTGTTCCAAGACAAAATAGTTGTGACTCTTTGCTTCACAGGCCTTTTTCTGCCTGAGGAAGTACTGACCATGCCACTAGCGTATAGGATTATTCACCATAAAACTTTTCTTTGTCTAAACTAAAGCTTCCTGTTTGTGCACACTTACATTATTTTGGAGTAAAATTAATGACCACAGTACTTACTGCTAGGTGGGTGTCTAGGTGGGTCCGTTGTAGGTAAGGATGTCCTTTCCCCCAGCAGCTGTCTGGGTCCAGAGCCTCTGGGATGGGTGGGGGGACAGCATGCACCCTGCAGAGGGTGGGTGCACTGAACTGGGGGTCAAGGTTCTGGGAATGTGGAGTGGGGAGCTTCTTTTCTGTGATGAGCTCTCCTAGGCATGCTGCCATTCCCATCCTCGCTGTTATTGGCTACATGCAAGTTAGCCAACCCCAGTATGTTGGGCCTATATATGCAACTAGTGCTCATGCTGGCTCAACTCACCCCACTCAGTCTGGCAATATATTTTACAGATACGTCAATATCAACCAACCTGGCCCTTGAATGTGTTGGTGTGATATGGTGCTGTGGCCAGAACTGAAACTCAACATTATAATTCATAAACTCAACTAGTATAGCTAAATGGGGACCTGGCACTAAATTCTTCAACAGGGAATGTAGTGGTCACAACTGGAGGGCTTACTGTGTGCCAGCCACTATTTGAAGCACTGTGTATACGAATTCATTTTGCTCTGTAACTGAATAGTATTGCCTATACCCAAACCCATCAGAGTTTACAAATCACCGTTCTCTACTTACTTTACTGACTGGCACTGTGTGCCTGCGCAGCTGCCCATGGAGGGAGTAAAGTCCATGTCATACATAACTCCCTCAGACCTGTGTTGCTCGAACTGGTTTGAGAAAGTTTCTGTTCTTTGTAAGTAAACATCACTGACCATGATACTGCTAGAAGAGTTAACTGACAATTGCTAACTAAGCCACCTTTCCCCTGAGCTCTGGGAAGAAGTTGGAAACACACTAATGATTGGAATGGAAATAACGTATATACATTATGAGTAAAGCAGCTTTGAGATTTTTTAAAATTTAGGTTTACAATAAGATCTCTCTGCAATAGACCTTTACTTAAATGCAATCCATTTGCAGCACGGTGGTAAAGGGCCCCTTTTCACGCCCCTCTCACTGACTGGCTCTGAGGCCTTGGGCACGCTACCTCCCCACTCCGACCCTCTGTGTCATCATCAGTTATAACAATGGGACCTGCCATAATGTCATTGGCTTTTTAGCCACGTGGCCTCTGCTCCCCCTCCCTTCTGATAACAGAACCGCAATCACCTGCTGGGGAGTCGCCTCCACCTGGAAGTGCAGTCTTGGGGGCCTTTTCATGAAGGGGGTCCAGCCTCCTCCAGCCAGAAGCTGGGCAGGGTCTCTCCTGCAATTTCAGTCTTGAGTGGAGTTAGGCAAGGACTGAAAATACTTTTTGGTTGAAGCCGTGAGTCTCCCAGGAAGGCTACAATGAACAGACAACTTAGAGAAACTTAATCAGAGTCGGATTCTCTTGCATAAGAAGGTGGGCAGCTCCTGGCATTGGTTCAGCTGCTCAACACCATCTTGGTGGGTGCATGGCATATTCTGGGTCTTTCCCTCATGGTCACAGAGTGACCTCGGACTGCCAGGTCCAAGGCAGGAAGAGGAGATGAAGGGGAAGCTTCAGTTTCCCGGAAAGCTGCCAGCTATTTTCTGGTCATGTCTTCTGGCTGGAAATGCCTCATGGCCACCCCCAGCTGAAAGGGAGACTGGCAAAGCTGTTTTGTTTTTCCAGGCTCTGTGTCTATTGGGAAGGCTGTAGGGCAGCAGTTCTCAACCTGTGGGTTGCGACCCCTTTGGCGGTCGAACGACCCTTTCACAGGGGTCGCCTAAGACTCATCCTGCATATCAGATATTTACATTACGATTCATAACAGTAGCAACATTACAGTTATGAAGTAGCAACAAAAATAATTTTATGGTTGGGTCACAACATAAGGAACTGAATTTAAAGGGCCAGAAAGTTGAGACCCATTGCTGTAGGGAAAAGGGTTGAAAATAATCATTGAGAACAGCCAGCCAACTGAAGAGGCCGTAGGTTCCCTCCTGCTACCTGGATTCCTAAAGTTGCCCTGGTCTCTGAACCCTCAAAACCGAATTCTTTAAAAAAAAATAAAAAATAAATAAAAAATAATAAATCCCATCTATTAATAGAGAAACATGGTAATTAGCTGTACCTCCGCTACCCTTCCCATTGGCTAATCAGGGCGATATGCAAATTAACTGCCAACCAAGATGGCGGCCGGCAGCCAGGCAGCTTGAAG